AAAACCCCAAAACCCCAAAACCCCAAAACCCCAAAACCCCAAAACCCCATCAACTGTGACATAAGTGATTTCGTAAGATTGTTATGATAATTTTGAATATAAAATCAATTTATAATCCTTGTAATTTTACCAGTAAAATGGATCCTCAAACAGATATAGACGCATGGGCACAAAGTGCTTATAGAGCTTTAGACACAGACGGAAAAGGATTTTTACTCAGACATGAAATCCTTGAGCCAATCTATGAGTAAGGAGTCCAAAATCATCACACTCTTGACAATCTCATTAAAGGTAAGTTATTTATAAAAAGTATATTGATATTGTTATATAGTTCTTTCTTAGAAAAAAGAGTAGGAACCAATACAGTTTAAGGAATTCGCGAAGCTAACACATGGGTTAATATTTTTGAAAAGAGTTTACATCTGGGATTTGACAATTCCACATTTTGATAGCTTTAGAAAGAAATTAGAGAGATCATTTAAGGAGATTAAAAGTGACGTCAATAATGAATATTCCTGGGGAGAAATTGCAACATACATTCCTCCTCTTGCAAAGGCTGACCCGAATTGGTTTTCCACTAGCTTTTGCTCGACTGATGGTCAACTTTGCAAATTCGGAGATCAAGAGAAGTTTTTCTCCATACAATCAATTGGAAAAGTCGTGACTTATGCTTTTCTTCATAATATGATTGGAGATGAAGTTCACAAGTGGGTAGGGGAGGAACCAAGTGGAGTAGCGTTTAATGCACCTATTTTTGATAAACTAGGTAGACCTCATAATCCAATGGTAAATGCTGGAGCTATTATGGTTTGCTCATTAATCATTTACTAAAACAAGTCCCTTGAGGATATAATTGATTTTTTTCAAAGGGCGAGTGACACTCCAAGAGCTAAGATTGATAGCTAATTATACTTGGAGGAGAAACTTACAGGTTATAATAATCATGCACTAGCTTCTCTAATGCTAGCAAATAAAGCTTTCCCATAACAAACAAATGCAGAGGAAACAAAACGATTCTCAGATTCTGCACTCGATCTTTACTTCATGAACTGTAGTTTGATGGTTAACGTAGAACAACTGGCCAGATTTGGTGCTATGCTTGCTAATAACGGCATTAATCCTACTACTGGCGAAAGAATACTAAGTCCTAAAACTGTTTAGGCTGTTGTAACACTAATGACTACTTGTGGCATGTATAATGGAGCAGGAAAATTTACTAAGGATCTAGGAGTGCCTTCTAAAAGTGGAGTTTCTGGTGGCTTACTAACTGTTATTCCAGGTATCGGAGCTTTTTGTACATGGTCTCCACCTTTAAATGAAGAGGGTAACCCAGTCAGAGGGATAGCAATGATATACAAACTAAATAGTATTTACAGCAATTTTAATCTATTTCACAAGGATATGCAGAAGTTAGATGTAACGAGAAAACCATTTTAAACAAAGATTCACAATACTCAAGCAGCAATTCAAACTGCAGCAGAAGGAGATATTGAAGGTCTTATTAGACTTCATAACTCTAATGTATCATTAGATGAAGGAGATTACGATCAGAGAACTCCTTTACACTTGGCATCAGCATCAGGCCAAATAGAAGCAGTAAAATACCTGATATCATTGAAAGTGAGAATCAATCCCACTGACAGATGGGGAGCGACGCCACTTAATGATGCTAAAACAAAAAAGATGCAAGACTTATTGCTAAAAGCAGGAGCAAAGAAAGGAGTTGAGCAATTACCGTATCAAGAACTCCAACTGGCAAATGTAAGTGATGATCAGTACAGTCTTATCTATGCTGCTGCAAATAATGATATTTTGCTAATGAAAGCTCTACACTTAAAAGGTTGGAAAGTAAATTCCTATGACTATGATGGAAGAACTGCTTTAAGTCTTGCAGCTTCTGAAGGCCACTTAGTCGCTGTCAAATATCTCGTAGTTCATGGTGCTGATCCAAGACATAAAGATGCAAGAGGAAATGATGCTTTAGCAGATGCCATAAGAGAAAATAAAAATGAGGTGGTTACTTACCTTAAGACTATATTGGAAAGACCAAGACTATGAATTCAAATCAAATTAAGTATACCTAGTCCATAATATTGAATTTGATATTCTACTAACATAACCCTTTAATTAAAAGTATTAAATAGGAAACTAATTTTGATATATTGACATTTATTATCAATATTGAATAAAGGGGTTTTGGGGTTTTGGGGTTTTGGGGTTTTGGGGTTTTGGGGAGATCG